GACGCCACGGGCTACTCCAATTCGCCGGTGGATCTTTTCCGCACTTTCCATCAACAGTAAACATGCCGAAGCGCTTTTTAAAGATTGCAAAGCAAAACTTTTTATCACGGCACTACCCAAGCACACCCAGCAGGTCAAGTAATCAGTCTGCCGAACGCTAAAGCGTACAGTGCGTTGCCGAACAATTCGCCGCTGTCTTTATACCGCCCAAAAAGGTTGTCAGCTGTCATAAGTATTTGTCCGCCCGTCAAACAACATTGATTCCTTTGAACTGAATACTACGAGATGCTCTTATCTGTTGCTACTCAGAAAATGTTGACTTCGTTTCAACAGAAAATTTGTGAATCCGCTTTGCCCAACTGAACGATTCTACAGCCTTGGCTTAAAATCTAGGGCTATTTCAAGTAACACTGTTACGGCAAACGAAATCTGTAAAAAAAAAAGAAAGCGACATTTGTGTTCTTTGCAGTGACAGGTCTACGATGGCTAATCATGTCTCCGGGCATTGCCTGATTATTTCATATTAACTGCCTATTCATTTAAATAAGGAATTCATTCAATCTATTATCTAAATAGCTTATAATAAACAGACAATTAAACGAAGGGACTGTACGACAGCGTGATGCAATTATGCCGGTGTTAGAATCTTCAGATTATGCTGTTAGTAGTCGCTCTTTTTAACGGTTCGGCACATCATGTGATGGTTGATGGCAGTAGTTAAAGTTAGCAGGGGAAAAGGTGACGAATTTGAGTTCACCTTTTACTGCGCATTAATCACTTAACCGCTCAGCATATCAGATACCGTGTTAGCTCTTCCGTTAAATTAAAATTCATTGCTTCAGCAAACTGAGTACTATTTGTAGGTGAAGAAATGATAACCAAATCATGTACCGCTGTAACTCACTGACATTAATGCTGTGATGCAAGGGAAGTCATTCGGCTAGCACATCAAGATGTGGACTCAGAACCGAGTGGCGTATTTTTACGTCATCGGTTGTTAACTGCCTTAGCAAGGAATTCAACCTTTACTGAGCAAAGGGAGAAACGAGAAACGAAAAAGCAATTATGCGACCTTATACACACAGTATTGACAGTATAACGTTCTGGTGTGGTAATACCTCAGGGCGGCCTAGACTGACGGCCATTATCACGGACGCGCGTGGTTTACAGCCGCCATTCGCCCTGGCCTAGCTGAGCAGTGACCACACGAACACAGGATGTAACCCGCCAAAAGTTGAAAAATCCGGTCGTAAACTAAAATGAAAAGCTTTCACTTAAATCAAAATATAACAGAAACTAAAAGTAAATCCTGACAATGAGACAACACCGGCAAACGTTTCTGCAAGTTTAATGGTTAGACATTTGTTCATGGCGATCATCACTATGAGCTGCTTCTATTAGCAGAATGCATCCAATCGGTTCATAAACCTTACCATTAATTATCACTCAGCGCTAACATGAAATTCAACGAAGCCACCGGTTCAATGCCTGTACAACTTTAAGCATGCAATACAGTACCGTAAATAACAGAACGATGGAGCAATTCTTCTTCCACTTCGCTACAGGTTCATGGTTGTTATATCTGATTACTAGTAATAAGTGCTGTTTACCGTGATTACCTATCAGCAGACACATCTACATACGTCCATGGTTCCCCAGTTCAGCGACTTCCTTAAAAGAGGAGCAAACTGCTTGCATGAATCAAAAACAGCGAAACTATGTTGCCGCAGTACACTTCCTAACCTCGAAATATCAATAACACGCATATTGTGATTTTTGTAATATTGAACCAACTCTATAAGTGTTTTAGGATGTCTTCCATATGTTGACCAAATTGGCCAAGCTGTATGGGCGTTGTGCAAGACCAGGGCCAATGCGAAAACAGGCAGTACTTTATCAGGAAGGATTATGAAGCTGCTAAGCGGCTCCGGTATTGATCTGAAAGGAGCTTTGAAAGAGATGTGCGAAACATCTGTTCAGAAGGAGACTTGCGATAAGCTCGGAGGACATCTGACCAAATGTGATGTGTTCGGTGGAATTGCTGCATTGATAGCGTACAGGCAAGCAATCGAACGTTGTTCAATGCTTCTTACATCATTAGAACAACCACAGAACCTTCCTGCAAATATCGGAGGCCTGCTAATAAATGAATTCACTGGAAACCTTGTACAGAAACTGTTTGGGACTTCAAGAAACTAGG